GGTTGGCTTTCTAGAGCAAATTTCAGATTTAATGTGTGAATACTGTCATCCTATACACCGTATGGATACACACTTCGTCTATAACAATAAGCGCTACGAATGTCGGCTGACCGCTAAAATAACCGCAGAAAAGGAAGACAATTTTAATATTTTAGGTAAGCAAAGTATTTAATACCAGTTATTTAGATTAGTCGGCATTTTCTCTAAGGCACTTGGACCTCGGCCATTGAGATGTTGAAGGTCTGTGAGGTAAGTTGTGTTGTGGCATTTCAAAAACTCAACTTATTCACACATCAGTACTTACTCAGCGTCGTTTTCATTATTCGACGTGTACTTTGTTAATCACTTCTCGCTGGATTATTAGGTTCATAATGGTAACTTATCTCAGGCAGATGTACAGGTCAGCGCCTTCCACATGCACAATTTAACGAGGCCATTATTTCAACCCCTAACAATGTTCATTTGATTATATGCGAGTATCAAAAACGCCGTGGCAACACAAAACCGGATATATATACGCCAAGTTAGTAAGTTTAATAGATATTTTTTGTTACTAGGCAGTAAACACATTTGTGATGCGGCGTTCAGGCAAGGACTGATTGTCGACTTTGACAGACCTTTCACAACACAAATTCACCAACTTCAACTTGGGAAAGAAACTATTATTATTATTATTATTATTGTGAACATGCCAGATAAACACAATAGACCGTTTTTCTGTCAATCTAATGCGACGGATGAATCCCTTTGTATATTTTCTATTAAGATTGAGTAAATACTTCCTCTCATGATATGTAAGAATATGATATTGCATAACAAGCGAGACCCTTTACCTATTCCCTCGTCCTGCTTGCAGTCGTTGGCGAAAAAAACGTCATGGCATCGCCGAAATTAAAATCCTGTCATTTTAGCTAGATTGAGGCCGGATACAGGCCCAAAAAGGGTTACAGTGAATCTATTATCGTATAATCAAGTGGCACTAATACAATTTAGCGCATTGAGGGACGCGGTATTCGGTGCCTCTTTGTCCTGTGTGCCATAAAAACGGTTTTCTGTTTAACGTAGTAAAAGAACGGTCCGAAAAATCCTGTATCTTGGAAATGTCATGTATCCGCCGGACGCGCGTGCTAATACAAGCACAAGACCCATCTAATGTCACGAATGCCTCCCACGTGCAGAGCATTCTGTGCACGTTAATACCATAACGCGGAGCCTGTGGTTAAGCTAGAAAGTAAACGTGTTTAGATTGCTCAGGCGACTAGTAGCATCCTGATGATTGGGCCACAATATAAAACAATAAAAGACAGAAATACATGTGAAACTTGTTTAATTGTAATGTTTTAATAGAAGCGTAAGTTTCAGCAAGAATAAAAACCTTCTCAAGTTTAACATAGTTAGAACTAGTTACCATTTAAAAATATGATGAGTATTTATAATCAGAAGAAATACCGTGACACAGTCTAGATCTTTTCTATACAAAATGTATATACCAGCATGCGGACTAAGACGATTAGGATGTAATTAAATCCGTATTGCATAAAACCTCGAACTGTGTGTAGGCTGCTACTATTCACTATTTCGGTAACGGCTTTTTTTTTGTTATCAAATTATCATCCAGAATTATCAAAGGATCATCCAGAAGTAAATTCCATCCCGTTTACACTCATTCTGTGTTGTAGATTACCAACATCGACGTCACAACTATGTCATGAATAAATATTTAATAAACCGAACACAACGCTCAATCCCGAACTAAAACCAGGACAAATCAGGCACAAGATATTGCATTGAAATAATTAGCAGCATTTACGTCGTCGCACTGTCGCTTCGCAGCGAGATACGTTGCTCGACACGTGTATGCTATACATCTAGGCCATTGCGTACAACAAAACCTTTGACTGTGTTTGGGTAGGGCTCTTCAGTACACCACCTCTACAGCTGGCTATGTAAAAATAGCCTTGGTGTCTGCCCCTTTTAATCGCCGAGAAATAATTCTATACTATTTATCTTTCTCAAGCGGAACATAAATTGGAAGAGCGGGTGCCACGTGTTACTGAGTATATTCTACGGATCCTTATCATTAGTCATTCAGACGTTCGTCTGGATCATCGTACGGCGTGATTCAGATTTATTTTGACTCGTCCATTATTTCTGTTCGCTTGAGATACGGCGGCAGAGCCTTACTGGCCGGCCAGTCGATAGTATGGCAGCAAGTTTAGCTATATGACTAACGTTAGCGATCTGCAATGTCATATTGGCGATACGTAGTCGACTCAAATAGTATACCACTGCCATGAGTTTGGTCGACGCGCGTCTACGAATGAACTTCCATGACATATTGTTTGATTTAGAAATAATTAAAGTGTCACTGCTGACCAGGAATCCGAGTGTGGCGATCAACGAGAGCAAAGGATACCACTTCTGGGTATGCCATAGCGGGTCGTTGCCCGAATAAAAAGTGAACAGGATCTGCAACAAACGGGAATCCTAAAAATCCAGGATGAGATGGCCAGTACTGATGTAATGGTCTGAACAATTATTTCCGATTCATCATCAATGGAGGATAGCATTTGTTAGTTTGTGCCTATCGCCATCCGTAATGCAGGGCGGGAAACAGGGATTTTTGTTGACTCGTATGCTGTTTCAACTGTAAGCTTACTTTTCTCACGACATAAAATTTAACAGGTACCATTTTGCCATCGTAAGCATAATTTTGCTTCACCCTGTATACTGCCGACCCTTACGATACGCTACGTGTGTGTTTGTCGATATGTGCATACATGGTGAGGAATCGATTGGTTAGTTAAAAAAAAATAAGAGAGCGCTTTATATTGAAAATACATTACTATACAATGTAGGTTTTTTTGCAACGATGTCGCCATTGGCCAAGTATAGCGGTATGAATGCCATTTTCACATTGAGACTAGTGGATGGCTAGAGAAATAGGCGCTGAGGGATGTCAGTTAAATCACTGTCGAGGCACAGGTTGCCAAGCAAGACTTTCGATTAAGTTTTGCTTTTTCAGCGTAAATCAAACGGTCAACTGAAAGAAGGGGCGAAAAAGTTTTTAACCCGAAAGTCCAGAACAGGAAGGTGTTTCTCTATAGTTTACGTTTTTGTTCTCAAATTTTCTATATATTACTCGAATTATTAAAAAAAAAATCTACAAAAACATATGAAATTCAAGGCTAAATATGTTAAATTAATTGGCCAGTAGATAATTGAATGGCAGCAGATCGATATTATTATGTAACTGTAACAACCATCGCTAACACTAACTATGCATCGTTCCCGTATTAGTGCAAAAACCATTTTCAGCTTAAATTCTATGTATGCGCATGATGCACCGAACGCCGTTACGCGACGACATAAAAACGTTCTTCCACCCGCTCAATCTTATAATGAAATCACTCGACAGCAGTCAAAATTATTATTGTTTTGGCTTACTATTTAATTATTTTTTAGTAAATCTCTAACTTTATATGATGTTAGTGGTGACTGTGTTTTGAATTAAGGGGTGAATTTTTTTTTTGTCTAGTATCGAACAGTTTGTGCATTATTCACAGAACTCCGGTAACTCTAAGCTTTGGCCATTTAGGCGTCCATCTGTTCGAAGCATTTTTTTTTGTTTGTCGTTCTGCCACATATCCCTCTGATAAGCTCGAAAGTATGAATTCAACCTTTTCCTACCTATGATAGCTCTGTTTTATGTGCTTGCGTTCCTTTACATTTACGTTATTTGTTGATTAAGAGGCGAATTCTGTCTGACGTCTAAGTCAGTATCATCTTGACATGTCTCGCTCCACGCTCACAGTAGTTTGCGACTGCTATCAGATAGCAACTTGGAAAAGACAACGCTGACAAAGAAATTATGGAGGGTGCACACCACCGACAGCCAGCCAGATGGATGGACTCGATTTCTGGAGTTTACGGAAGAGAACAGTCCTATTCGTTATTTAGTTGCCCGCTTGGTGACGTTCGTTCTACTGAATCTACTCGGGTGGGAAGAGTGTGTCAGGAGTGCCACGTTCCTCGGTCCAATATTCCCTTCACCATCGGTCGCACTCTGCGACTAAGGCGAACGCCTGTCGCTCGTGTGATCGTCGGTCGGTAAGAGCCATCGTACATCGAGTGTTCGTCTCTACACCAACCAAAGTGCGCGAGCAGATCCATATAAAAGCTGACGCCCTCCGCCCACGAATCACCTGGTAGAAATAGTCGTTTCCGATTCGCATATCGGCGTACTCGGCACGCAGAAGAACTTCATCGATGGGTACGCCCTCCGTATATCCACTCGTAGTAGTCAATTTTGCAACGGCCCTGTAACTTAGCTTTCGATCAGGGCCTACCTTGCTATACGGATTCTGTCTGCCATTATTGCTGTCGTTGTTATTGCGTCCATCGCTTCTCGAGCTTGTTATGTTCGGTGTGCCTGTGTATCAGTTGCTTCTAGGGGCATAGAGTTGTGTATCTGTGCATATACAGGCTGACATCAAGATTAATATTTAGGTGTCATAAGGTTAGAGGCCGAGCTATGGCCGAACGTCAACGGAAGAGCATTATACGAGACAGGCAAGGATAATGATATGTTGACAACAAGACGCCAGAGAAACGACGAATAGACTGATTGTGTCAGCTGGGAAATTCTACAAGGAGAACAGAGTCTCTTGCACCTAGATAGTCGCCTGTATGCCATATGATCTGGCCCAGTTGTACGATCCGCGGACAGTTGGGCCACAGAAAGTTGAGCTGTCGTGCTTACCTTCTTAATCGGGCCAAAACGTGTCATTGCCTCTATAGCTTGATATTGCCATTAGGTGTTGCTATGGGATGATGTCGGAAGCGGATGTTGCGGAGCTTCTGCCTTTGGATAATGAGACTCTTCCTAAATGCGATTGGCAGGTCTCTATCGGAGACGGAGGAATCGACCTTCAACCATGGTTGTGGAAGTGGCTATACCTGGTAAAAGCACATTCTGCGCGAACTTCCTTGTGCGACTTGTGCGCTTCGAGATACAAGAAGAGATACGTTTCATGGCTAAACAAATTAGGACCCTGTTTTCATAGGACAGCTGTTGACGAGTTTCTAACGCAATTCAGTCCAGCCGATTTAAAGAGATCGTAGGAAGCTAGCCTTGCTCAGATTCTTTTGTCTCCCGGATCAGGCAGGACGGTTAATGCGAAAAGCTGACACTAACAATGTTCGACGTTTAACTACATCTAGTGAACGTTTCTTTTAGTAATCACTCATTAAGTAAATTTCAGATAACAACGGATTGTTTTAGAAGTGTGTCTACAGCTTTTTCCAAGTCTTTATTTCGAAGCCGAGCCAAGAGGAAAGGCGCCGTTTCGAAACTGTTATTTTTTCGTCACCAGACAAAAGAGATACGTCAAAACGTCCCCAGAGAGGACTGACCTAAAAAAATTGATGGAAAAACGAGCAACGAACGATTGACGTTTCTTTGACTGTGGTTATGGACTCAAAGAATAGAGTCTTAAGAGTAAATCATTGAGTTGCTTTCGTAGTGGAACTGGTGTTCTTGTGGCGATTACGCTTGCGCGTCTCTGTGACATTTGGCGACGAGGCAATCGATCTTCTTGGCTGAGCGTTGAATCTGTAGCTGTGATTGATTCATAGAACACCTTTGTAGAGGATATATAAGACATTGTTCTTGGTGTCCTCAAAGAATTGCGTGGTAGGGCAGCTACGACCAAATAGAATTCGTATGCACATAACTGCGATGGCACCGACTATGCCACTGGGTTCCGGTGTTCACACAAATCGTTAATGGTGGAAGTGTACAGAAAAAATTATTTTTCAAACGAAGCAATACGATTCGTGTAAGGGACCATGTTTGCACAGTACTGGAAACAGTCCGCCATGACCTGTCGAGCAATTTTGGATTCTTGGACACTACGATGAGATTTCATTTAAAATATATTTGTCTAATCCGCAGTTATGCTAGCGAAAAACCTGGCACACAGTTGCACACGTAATTACATGAATATTGGAATATTTCCCTGGTGACGGTCTTATTATTTGTTGCTTCAAGGCTTGTCTATAATGAAAGGTAAGCATTCTGTCAGACGAAAAGGAAATGCCTATGTTGCCTATTGGTTAGCAGTTGTTGCAAACTAGCAGTCATCATAGAAAACGTTTAGTGAATCCGAGTGGCTTGTCCTATGTGTGGGCCTTGATTCTGAAAGCTTCATATGTATTACGCGGGCCGTCGGAGATAATAATAGAAGAACGTAATAATGGGACCTGTACGAATTAAGTTAGATATTTTCAAAATGTATCAATTGCGAATCGCTGATAATAAGGCTTCGAGCTAGAAACACGAATCACTCTGCACTCAGGTAACACAAAGTTATCTGTTAGTTGTAGAAAGGGCTGGTCTAATAGGACGTAGGCCTGCGACATCGTGGCAGGAGTCTGTCTGATTAATCATCGGAAATCTACGGAAGATAGTATTCACTCTGAGTCTATTAGTCTGCCCTATGACCCAAGCCACGATCTTTGACAGCCAACAATAAGCTATTCGTTTTGAACGTTGCTAAAAACAACCGAGACGAATGCAATTATAGAAATATCTATTCTATTGCAATTCACTAGGTACTGTTACTGACAAATGAAATTTTCTAACAATGGGCCAAAGGTTGTCATATTACAATATGAAAATTTATCAGTCCTGTTCAAACTTACGGACCGGTAAGCGGGATACAATGGAACGAAGGTGCCTCACGTGTAAATCATGAACGTATTTATTTAACGTAGAAAATAGAAGGAAAAGTTTCGTTGTTCATTTATTTATTGTATTACCTTAAAGTTATGCGGTGTTTCTAGAAGACCGTAAAAACAAAAAGTGAAAAAAATTGAAATTTACAACTGTGTCCCCGTACAAAAAAAAATGGTACTATTTCGCGAATATCGAATAAAAACAGAAAGGTAATATAGGCTTAATCCTAATGTAGGTTCAATTTTAGTGCGCTTCTAAGAAGGAGGGTCTATCGAAGCGGTAACACTAATGCCGCTCGTCGATCGAATATTTACGTAGGAAGTTTAGAAAGTTTCATAATGCTCACCGTGAGCGTGTACCGTACTTTCTAGAGTAACTCAATTCATGTTTACGCCACTGTCGAGTCACACCTTAAACGCGTCCTCTGGCGACAATATGGACCATAGCTGATATGCTCGGACGTCGTCACTGCGGCCGGATCACAGGCAATGATCATCTGTAACTAATGAGTGTACACTTTGTTCAATCAGCCCTTTTCTGGCTGATTCGAAACTATGGCTTACATACATTATTAAAATGCAATTAAATATCCCACATCGTAATAATATAGAAAAATACTAACTAATATTCGTAGCCTGTATATAACTATAAATAAGTAACTTCGTATATATATATATATGGGTATTCGCCAAGCAATATTATATTTACTAAACGATCTCATATCTATTGGCATTTTTTCTATTTAGTTTGTACAATGAACGCTCGTACTAACTCATCTCTAACGTACATAGCTTTTACAGCCCAGAGAATTGTCGCATCCTTAGTGGAATCTAAACAATAATTGATTGTAACTTGTTTGCCCAACATAATTGCTCTGCATGTTTATAATTTTTGGCGATTTTTTTAGCCCAACTTAGTGCCTTTAATAGCATCCTATTGTTGATTTTCAGGCAAGGCGTTCGTGCCTTAACCAGCATGAGGCTGATTCGGTGGCTACGGTCGATTGCATTAGCTACGGTCATTTATAACGGTATCAGGACAGGAGCTCAACCTTCGGCTTTCGACGAGATCGCCATTTCGAACATCTCACTCAATGAGTTGCTGGCTAGTGGACCTAGAGCGTCTCAACAATTACTCAATGGTCTCTGTAAAGATCTAGCGTTTTTGATGAAAGCGATCAATCACTATCTAAAATCATCCATAAATGTCATTTTTGTACGCACAAACTTTATGATATACTATACATTATATACACCACCTAATATAGAAGTGAAATGTTTTGTGCAATAGTGCTTCTTGGGTTTTATATAGTTTCGCAGAATCACAGGCGTGCCTGCCCAAGTTGTACTGCCCTATTAGTTGTTACGTTACAGAAATCAGCCATGTAACTCTTAACTTATATGAGTCCTTCATGAAGAAATCAATATCAGCGTTTGTTCAATCAACCCTTTGTATGGCCTAATGTAGGCAGATAAATGACCGATGAACGAATAAGCCATTTTCGAAAATCGAGATCCAGTGTCCCCTGTTGTTTAGGCCTTGAGTAATGGGTCTGTCATCTTAGCTGTTGTTACCAATATCTACAATTCAATACGAGCAAGTGATAAGGTTCGATAGCTACTTGTTTCATCTAGACGCGGAAGAAACCGCTTAGAGCAAATATGCCCCACTGAAGATTCGACAGCGACCCGCTTGTACGTTGCGATTCTCTCAGTAACTACCTTAATTGCAACTGTTTATTTACTAAGGGTGCCGTCACTTTTCGCTCTAGTAAACAAACGGCACACAGACTCTCTCGCTCCGGTGACACCGAACTATGCGGATTACGTTACATATGTCTCCAGCACGAACGCTAATCGATATGAGGATGAGTCACGATGACCTTTTTCACGACTTAGAGGTTGCTGCTATTTGTATGCAGCCAAACCTTAAAATAGCCTTAACACGATTATCTTACGTCAATATATTGCAATCGATGCAAGCAATTTACAACAATTAGCAGCGGTACCACCAACAGGACAGTGGAGAAAATTCAATAGGTATCTTACCGTGCCTGTTGTGTAAGTGCTAGCTAGATGGACCAGACCATGGTAAAAGTCACGATCGCTATTTGTTACGCGAGTACTGCTTAGGACATATCAGATGAAGCCTAAATGTTGGCAATAATCACTAGAAATGTTCAACTTCGTAGGTGCGCATCGGTAATTAGTGAATTATCATATGGTTAGATATCGACGATACACGCCTACGTAACAATCTATTGTTCATGTGTTCCACTGGTTCTAATCAATGGTATAGGCCTAAGCTATTGTACGTGGCAAGACAAGATGGAAGGTCAAGGGTAAACAAATGATGAGGAGGGGCTTCGTACGGAACGGGTACGGTGAAGGATAACCCCTATAATTTACTCTTGTGGAACATTTTAATTATCGATTGTAAATTATGTTCAACATTGACTAATCTATTGGTACAAACTTAATTTGATATGATAACAACTGATTTCAATAGATAGAGATGCCAATGAAGATATTCTCATAAGGTTTCTGCTAAGCGCGTCTATAGGGTTCTATATAGCGTTGGACGAACATATGCGATATTTGTTTAACAAATCTGCTGCTACATCTTCAATGGCGCAATTTATGGCATGTCATTAACAGTAATAATAACACTGCGTTCATGCTGTTCTCACATTGTAGGATCGTGCGGGACTGAGTGCATTGCTTGTTTGGAGAGGACAGCCCCCAAAATTGCCGAGCTAACTCTGCGACTTTTGGAAGCAAACGACGGGGATGATTTTGTAAGTTTAATATGTTCCGGACAATGAGCCAGTTAATTTATCTCGAAGCGAATATCATACTTATATAACTGCTTTTAAAGCACGTCTCGAAACTGAAAGTTATTCGGTTACAAGGAGAATAAATTTTGAGAAAAATATCTAGATCTAGGCTTTCATTCACGCTGAACGGGGTATAATTTCTGATTAAAAACGATAGTATTTATGAAAATCCAATCCTAGGATTCTAGAAGGACAAACTAGCCTGACTAATAAGAGTGCCAATGCCGATCGCAGTTGTTGGACATAGTTTCTTTAATAAACTGGTAGTTTTACTTGTTATTTGCTAGGTACTTGTTACAACATGCAGTACAGACTAACATCGAAGAGGAAAGAAAAGATTATAGATTAACGTATGACATTGCTGTTTATTATTACTCTAGAAAATCATTCAACTGGAAGAGAACGCTCGATCGATTCCCATCTTTCCAGAGCAGGAAAGGTTACTCAGGAACAGTCCTTTAACTGAGAAAGCATTGACGGCGCTATTACTCAAGATTGTAGAAAGTAACCACTGGCTCGAGAGGCTTTCGTCTACCGGCAGAACCTTGCCTCCTGCGATTGTCGTAAAATATGATGACCCCCCTGCAAGGCCGGAACACTGGGCTGATCCAACAAATCGATCGGCAAAAAGCGGTGTCCCTAAAATAGCTGGCCGTCTGGTTTCACGAGATCGCAGTAGTAAGCAGCAGTATGGCACAACCTTACAGCCGGTTCTGGAGCCACGAGCTACCGATGTCGCCCTTAATTCAGAGCTACGACGTTTTAGGGACGAACAGTCCTATGAGCCGCGGTATCAGACAGCCGAAGAGCCGAGACAGAACTTCACTACAAATGCTAGCTCAGGAAAGTTCGATGTCTCAACGGAGAAGCACGACACTTCAACTATAAGGCTGGAAGAAAGGTACACCACAACCGCTTCGTCAGAGAAACCATATCACAAAACGGGTCGATCGAATATTGCCTGGCCCACACCGACTGGTACTGACTTCGCCATGGTAGCAAGAGATTCAAGCCCTGAACAGCCCGATGACCAACGCCATCCGAAAAGTATATGGGCAAAGGAGCAAGATGGGACGACGGTTCGCCCGGCAGAATGGTACTACACTACTGACACACGATCTAAAAAGTTTTTTACTGCGAGCGTAGGACCCGAAGAGGACTTCACCACAACGGCGTGGCCGCGGGATCGCTATGAAATAACGAAGAAACAGGAAGAAACGCACACAGCGACCGTATGGTCGGAGGAAACGCTAACCTCAGCGGGACAACCTATAGTGGTGCCTACAGTGGCAAGCCTAGAGTTGCTTAGCAAAGGTCTAAACAGTGAACAGCCGGGAAAAAAGTTCCAAGGTAAAATGTCATTTTTGCACAATATTGTTCCATAATGTATTAAAGAATTATCCACACCTTGCAGAAGGAGTATCTAGGGCATCTAAGAAAGAGTTTAAAAAGAATGTTTCACAGTGAAAAATAATTTTTTTACAGTTAAAAAAACATTTCCTTTTCATGGCTAAAACCTCTTCAATTTTACATTTACTAAAGTACTTATATAGCGACTTTTTTCTAACTGTGAAACACTTTTACTTCATTTAATATAAAGAAAAGCAGATATATTAAAAATTAATTCGATGAAATTCTTCTATTCAATGAAATCCTTCTATTTTTCGCGATTTTGATACGTCGTTTTACAACTAACTTAGCCTCTGGTGAACTTGCTCTTTTATTACTGTGGAACCACTCTTTTTATGGGATGCCATCCTTAAAGGCTATAGCTCACTTTCTAAATATTATAAGTCATTATATTATATATATATATTATATTATAAATATTATAAGCAAAGGTAAGTCAATGATTAACAATGATGTATTTTCGTAAACCATTAGTTTTTTTTCGCCTCACTGCATGTGTGCTGATATTATGGCTACCGTCGTAGTGAAACTATGGGTAGCTTCATGGGTGGACGCTGGTTGTACCTAAGATCGTGTAAACCAAAACTCCAGTAGCACCAGTTTGTAGCTAAGACTTACACCGTTTTCTTTCTCGATGTGAAGGTGATACAATTGCTGGGTCCGCGATGTATTCGGGGCTAACTCCAATAATTACACGTAAAAGCTCGACTGCATCCATCACAGTTCAGCCCCAGAATCTGTCTGGAGCTAGCACGTCCTCACCTCTCTCAACGGCAGGCTCGCCACTTTGGGGCACAGGACTTCTGGAAGCCATGCAAGGATCGATTGCTCCAGTAGACAATGATAAGTTGTTACAATCCTCCGGTGACGCCATCGAGCACAGTGACCTCTCAACAGATGAAGCAGACGTAACGGCCTTGAATGGCTCCATCGTGACGCCAGAGGTGAAGGTCGAAGTTACACCCAATAAGCGAGTGCTGGTTACTTTGCCCGATGGCGTTGTTTATCCCGTGCCAGAATCGCTAGATAGCCTTGTCGCAGCGATAGATCCGCGCCAGCTCAAGGTTTGTCAAAAGAAAACACCTATTTCCTAAAAATGGTTGTGTTTAAATGAGAAAAATTTCGCAAACATCAACTTTCTGGCTATTCTCGCGACAAATGCGTAGTCATTTTTTATATAATTGAGACACGAATTGATAAAGGCCAAAGTATTACGCTGGTGTCGATAAGTTTAAACGACCTTTTTCCAGGGCTATTGTTGTCTCCCTTTGTTTGTTGCTTTCACATTGACCCGACGCGCGGGAACTGCGTACGTGCTTATTGATAACAAGTACGATCTATTCTGTTCGTTTGAGAATAAAATTTAGGTGTAAAGTTGCGTCGATTCTTTTAGGCTGATTGAGATTTCCACAGGATTATATATCTACAGGGTGTTTCTAAATCCAAGATTAATCTTTCTGCAAATCTTTGTTACACTAGAATCATAAAGCTTAGGAAGTATCATCCTAGTTTTAGATATTTGTTTAAAAGTTAGATGACATATACAATTGCGGTGTATACGTAGTCGTACGAGACCTATTTTTTCGGCTGAAACGGCGCGCGTATATAAAGGAAATTGGGTCTTGTAATTCACATCCCTTCCAAATCGGTTGATTAAAACTAACCAGTAATATTAAGTTAGATAATGACGATTTTTAATATGTCACATTTGATTCTTCTATACTAAAATGACGGGAAAACGTTTCCTTACAATCGGAGCTTAAGTGTAAGAGTGTCGTCTAAATGCTAATTGAAGTAGTGGACAATTGAAATAAGTTTCAGCTGTAGAGAGCTGTAACATTCTATAATATTAGTTCCGGCAACAAATTATCGGAAATTATTACAGTAAGTACCTTTCATCGGGGGACCAAACGATTATATATATTTAAACCCTGCGAAAAGTTCTTCAAGGATATGGGGTGTTTGCATCCGGCAAAAATTGCCTTCCTGAGGGGGATTCTTGCTAGGAAAATCAAAGTAAATTTTGTAGCCAGAGCTCCGGATTTGCCAGTTGAAAAAAGCTAAAACTTGCTAGATCAAACAAGTGTAATAATCGATATTCGGCCCTCTAACGTTAACTAAATGAACCCCAAATTGTGTTTCAGTAAATGTGTATAGCAGAGTTGAAGTACGCTGAACCTCATGATTATATAGTAGAATTGATGGCGACAATGGCTCCAGATAGGAGCCCGATATCTTTAAAAATACTTATCATCTTAGACGTTGTCGAGAGTTTATCATGGTTGATAGCTACTGTTTTAAGTACTTGTTATGGGGTCACATGATCACTTGAATAGAATATGAACTTTTTATTCAAGTCCACCAAAGTACTTGATTCCATCGCAGAAGTACGACAGCGTAGTTACACGCAAAGTTTGTTTCCATCGATTGGCAGCCAGATCAAAATGTGGGTGTTATGAATCGAAAAGCAGAGTATTAGCTTTAGTTTATATCTATTTTTAGGCTCAGGCCGTAACGAAAGTTTTTTTACTTTAAGAATTATTGTCGAGAAATCAGGCACAATTGGTTTAAGTTACTTCTCGTTTGGCCTGTAGCTGTCACTGTTCAGTTTGAACTGTCTTGAGATCGGCATCGGACGAGAAAGTCCTATTGAAAAATATACTTTTTCGACAAACCGTATCTCTGTCTTTGCAACGAAAGATCAATTTCGAAACACCCAGCAGAGTTTATAATGAATTACAGGCGGTCGTGTCGCAATTGAAAGTATTCGGTCTACCCATAGAGTTTCATTCGAACCATCTCGTCATGGCGAAAGGATCGGTATCGAAAAGCGACGCCCTTCGAATAGAATTCATTTTGTGGTCTACGAATCAAACAGCAAACAGCGTCTCCGTATACTTCGCCGGCAATCGATATCAGCTTCCTGAACAGGTGCTTTGTTACAGTTTTTGCGCGATCCCCTCAAGAGCTAGCATTTAGCGTATGACCTGGCCGAATCTAGAAACCAAACGTCTATATTTTGCTTGTATAGTAAAATCTGCTAATCGGTCCTCGATCGATGACCTCTATAAGAAAAGCGAGATACTAAAAGGGATAATAAACTAAACACGTCTAAGTAGGAGGAGATTTGTTAATAAATAAAGGTCGAACGTCACAGCTCATACGAGCTGGGCGCAAAGTATAACTGAACTCAGATGATTTTTTCTATCGAATATGTTATATAGCTGTCGGGAAAATGGAAACATTAGCCGTCGGGAATCGTTAACACATTATCTTTAACTAGTCTCACCGCATCCGTGATAACGTTATAGATGGATGCCTTTGCGAACCAGTTGAAAGGACGACCACGAGCCGATATCCGGGCCGTCGTTCGGGGGTTACAGCGATATAATCTACCCCAAGGACTCGACACAGAGCCACTTGTCCGCCTGGTAACTGCTGTGCAAAAATTCAAATTATAGCTCGATGGACCTTAAGAAACTCTCGCACATTGGTAACCTTTGCTTGCTCAGTTCCCGTTGAATTTTGTGCTCCGATCTCTGCTCTTTATTTCTGTCAGCCTTGCTACTTTTACTTCGCCAATTTTATAGTGTATTTACGATTCGTAACTCTCTACTTAAGCGCTTTCCATTCCGTTTTTACCGTACCGTAGTTTTTTAGTTAAACGTACCGTTAATTCATGCAATATTTTATTGTTCGTTTTTATTCTTGATCAGATGGATAAAAGGGACGAGGCGGCAACTGTCACAACTCTAATGCCAGATGTTCTGGGGCTATCTGGTGATGATACAATTTCATTCGCTACCAGTCCTGAATCTGGTGAAGTTGGGGATAGTGTGCCCCATAGACTTACGGCCCCTATTGGAGTAGGGGGTATTGTTCTAGAATTTGCAGGACGCCGCTTCCGTCTACCGGATGAAATCGAACTGCTCAATCGTGTAATCACTACCACAGAAAGTCGAGAGGTTAGATTATGATGTTCTTACCGTTATTAGGCTAACATAGACAAGGAAAACAAACCGGCAATAATGAAATAAACAGCTATCTAAACGGTGCAATAGACCCTTCTTAGCGTGTAGTTGAGCAGATAGCAAACTTTGGAAAAGAACTACAAATTTTACCAGATTTATTTTGTATGTACGCAAAGGTAGACAAGCGTATTAATGAAAAGACGCTGCCTCGTCATGCATTATCGACCTTGTCCGTCCTTTGAGTCGTGGAAATTGTCATCGCTTAGATATTTCTGGCCGCCCAGGGAACTAGCGTTTACCAGTGCGAAATTTGGAGCACTCTAAGAAGAGGTTTGCAATAGCAACAAAACAATTAACTGCTTTATTTATACTATATCATTAACCGGACTGGGCTGCTTTTTTGTTCCAGCCTCAAAGGCGTTCGCTGTTAAGACTCGATCTTAAACCGAATCGAATGTTTTTGTCTGGAATACTTTTGTACCGTTAGACATGGACGGACGTAGACGGTGTCAAACTCTTTGAGTTGATCTCCTCCAATGAATACCACGTGTTTCCGTGGATATAATAAAACTGCAAATCAGTCTCAGTAAACACCATACTAAGTGAGCAATTATCGTTGTATTCATAGAATCTGTTGAAGCATATGCGGAAAGTTGGTATCCCAGCGGTCATAGTCAACAACCGCCTTGCGATCGATCAGGCCGCCGTCTTAACATCGACGAAGTCTCGACAGCGTCCGGTACGGCTCCGAATTTACACGGTCGACGGAAGGCCGAGCAAGGTTTTGATCCGAGCGGAGGGCTCCGAATTCGAGCTGCCCAAGGACCAGACGTTGTTTAATCGATTCATTAAGAATTCTTCGGTTCTTATTTATGAAATTATCAAGGTAAAACAAACAGCTACGGTCTTTTTGTTTTTTTTTTTTTATCTAAACAACAATGGAGGCTCGGCATTGGCGAATGAGAAGATCTATTTTTGTGTATACCACATGTAGGAATACCCGTCCGAATAGTTTATACGAAATGCTAATGCAAAGTCTGCGATTTGCTTTAGGTTCTTTCGCACTACAGTATACCTGTAACGTTTGACGAAGATACGGGTGATCTAACCGTACAACTGAATAGTCGTTCGACAAATAACACCCATCTGAGTTACCAAGTAACAATCAACGGCGAACAGTACAGGTACATAGGATTTGGTCGCGGCGAATCGGCTACTATTAGGACTTGATCGACGTATTAAATTGTTATTATTATTATTTAGAGAAACACCGGTTTTCAATCAAACCCGTCGAGACTCGATAGTACTATCAACGAGCGTTCCAATGATTAAGCTCTTTCGAATATAATGATTGTCAACGAGAGTTATATACCATTTTACGATAGCTGATAGACTCGATTACTTTTCGTATACAAACAATCAATAATGTGATTTAAGTTTATTTTTCGTAGATTTCTAGTTCTATGATTGGTCATTTTAATTTTTGTATCAGATGATGAACATACCCCTTTAACGAGTCATACCGAAATGATTGTAGACACAATTCAGACCTTGTAAAATTCTGTACTTCGGTTAGCCGAAGGCGCAAATTGGCGTCGTTCTCATTTCTCTACCCTTATCGACGAAATGGTCGACACACACTAATTTCGTACTTACCCTGTACAGGTTGCCGGACCAATGGCCTGAGTTGGAAACAGCTATATATCGCGGGACGATACATCAACCTGATCAATTGATTAAGTTATTTATTCGATACAACCTCGACGTGCCTCAATATGTATGCTTTACCTATTAGATTTCAGGTTTTCATCGAACAGCGTAGTAGATAGAAAATCTACTAATGCCATATAAAGAAAAAGTAATCGTAACGAATGAAATGTATATATATATATATATATATATATATATATATATATATATAATACTCGAAACCATACAACATTCGTTTACCCAATGAATTAGAAATTCATAACAAACAAGAAAGTTTTCTTTGTTAATAATCATTTGTATATACATATTCCATGAATATACAGTGAAACATACAGTATATTCTGTCAAAATGTTGAAGTAACTTGTCATTGGTTGGCTTGAACCAACGACTTCTAACTTTCTCAACCTGGGGCCGTAGCTTCAAAACACTGGAAAGGAACTAATAATTAGAATCTAGCAAAATTCGGTAACGAACAGGTTTTGAACGCCATCAAGTTGGTCAAGCAGCAAAAAGATAGACCAACTGGAAATCCTCTGGCTATCAGCATCGTTAACCAACCCCAATCGTTGCCCGGTCAGCTTGTTCTATCTTTTCGGGGCATAACATTAGCCTTGCCCCAGGACTCGCAAATGTTGTCTCAGCTCATCACTGACGAGAACGCTCTAGCCGAGCTGCGGGATATCGCCTTGTCCGCGAACGCTCTCAGCCGTCGACATGGAAATTCCTTGTGGGTCGAAACGCCAGACGGTTTGATCAAAGTTGATCTGAATTTAACCCAGACCCCAACCGATATTGGAGGCGATTTCGTCAGTGAGGAAGGCCGAGATAGGTGGAGATTTATGCCCTATCGAGTTTCGACGACTGAGTCATCCAACTTCATCAAAGGTAAAAATCATTTCTGACTAAAGGCTGTCGAAATAACATAATTAACTTAGACAGCCACTATAACGATTAGCATAGCTTGGAAGCTAAATTCGGTGAACGGATTTAGAATATGAATATAATGGATTAATTGCCCGGATTTAGAATGAGACGATCTGAGATGATTGATGATATGTTCGTATGAAAGGATGCGCCCCAGGTTGTCTGCGTCAGCAGCCGGCTGAGACTACAGGATATAAACGTTATCGGTCAGAGTTGACACGTACATCCCATGTTGTTTCCTTAGCGTGTGGGTGTAGCGGCCTTTCTCGTTAGGTTTTCCAATATGAAATTCCAGTAATAAATATTAACGTTGCGTTATCTGCTTTATTTATTGTACGTAGTTGAAGTCGCGGACGGAAACGAGCATCTGCTGCCAGGAGACGAGACAGAACTTGAAGATTCTATTCAAAGGGTTTGCTTTTTTAGATCATTTTAAAACGACAAAATAGTAGATTCCGGAAGTCCAAGGCAAATTTTGTCCTAATTTCGTTTGAACGAAGAGCTATTGTCCGAAGATATTTTGTTTGCCAGATGTAGTAGTGACTAGATAGTTATTTTCGAAATGCAAAATTATTTCTACTTTTTTTGGCGTCAATTTAACAAGGTATTTTTTGATTTTGCAACATTCAATACAGGCTGGAAAGCCTTCAAGACTGGTGGATGCTCTTCAAGCTAACGGAATTTCTGTGAACCTCAAGAATCAATACTTAGACCTATCTTGGGGCCAAATAAGAACAAAGTATGTTTAACATCCTCTTAAAAGACTGTGCTTTTAGCTGCACAATATGTAGATAAAAGGTCTTTTTTGAGGCTTTTTAAAAAATGCCCTTTGACAAATATTGCACAACGTATATGCATCGTGCATACTCTTTCTGATTTCTGCTTCACACCGTTTAATAGTCGAGGAAAACATGTTCGATACAATTTTTACAAAACGATTTCAGAGTTTTAATAGAACGTTATTTCTGCAAATTTTTCATGAGCAACTCGACTTGTCAACCATCAAAATCCATATGTTATATGACATCGTCGTATTTTCTTCACAAAGCTTCGCTGTTCTTCCTTTGTATAGATATCTTTTAACGTTCTTATTCTGAAATTATGTTTATTTTCTTTTGCAACCGTTGCCATTGTTTAAAGACTCAGGATTAATAGTATTCGACCTCAACCAATGGCATCTCTTCCAAAGGCTAAACGTAAAATGGGCATTCGTGCACGAGGCGCCCCAGGAAATTTCATGTACACAATCACCTTAGCCGATGGAAGGTAACTGATAATAATATTTCATTGAATTATTAAGCTGACCATTATTATGTTAAAGAAAGTAATTTAGGCCAGTGGGCCAGTAGTCATGGGCAAACAACGTGAAAGTTAATGATGATCCTAACGGGATGCTTATGTAACCTAATGGTCCAGAAAAAACAACAAGCAAATTTAGGAGAGGCTGCGGTTGTTTCATGATCTGTATTTTCCTTAGATCATTAACTCTGCCAGCGCAATGGGAACAGTTACAAGAGATGGTTCGCAATGGAAAGTTGCGTCTCAACGTACTTCTTCGACTGTTTGGTACGTTTTTTCTTTTTGTATAACTATTGTCATGTTGGATCGACAGCTATCCTCCTATCACAGAATCGCTATTAGCTCATCTAACCATTAAAATCGTAATCGTGTCCATACCTCTTCTTTGCGGATCCTTGAGGTAACCGTTCGCTGTAAGAACACTCTTTTCCCTCCTCACAGAAACGCCGTTATCGAAATTGTTATAGCACGCCAAAGAAAGGCTTCTCAAGTTTTCGACACTGTACAAACCAAGAAAACCGCTACATTTGATTATTGGGAGACCGGTGGACTCTAAGATTACGAGCAACATGTAATTCATATAACGTATCATGATATATAAAGCGCTTTATAAACGGTAATAAAGCGTTTGTAAGCTAATGCACAGGCCGATGCAAGAAAGAGATGGCCGCTGTACACATTCCCGAGACGAAGCCCCCTAAGCAGCTTTTACAGTCCTGTTATTGTCACATTATTGCAGATATGTCACGCATCAATATAGGACATCGTAGGTCGGAGGACGGTTCATGGTCAGTCGTCCTGAATGGCAAGGCGTACACGCTGGATGACCAACCACAATAGGTAACTGCAAAAGGTGACTACCTATTGAAATATTAACTGTTACGCAGACTGCGAAACGGCCACTACACCACAGACCCAGCTAACCCCACACAACGGGAAGGTTATACTGCGCGAACGAATCTCCAAGGAACTATTTGCAAAAACGATTTTTCGTGAGGACAGAACGTTATATCGGAGATAGTAATACAATTATCTATCGTTACGGCGCTCTTCGTAATAGACAAAGTAGATTATTCGAACACATAAATGATAAAATGATAGATCTGTATATTATGCATTATTATATAATCCTATCTCAATGCTATTCGATAGAGAGACAAGTTCAATCTGTGTTAGGCAAATGTATTGTGTATATACATTGCGATGATATATAATGGCCGTCTTGCAGTTAAGGACGCCCTACCAGAATGGACCCATTTGAAAATCTTTCATCGTTGTCGTTGATGCTTCCCTTTTATCTGATACTTTACCAATGACGTACTGCTATAACTATATAAGATATTATTAGAAAAACAATATGAAATGAGATCATTTAATTAAGTCGAAAATCACTAGCGCGATGTAAAATTAAATGCATCCGCATTCTACTTGTATTTCATCAATATAAATATATATATATATTGGTTTTAAATTTTACTATGTATTATGTAGGTATAAAATAAAATTGTTAGAGCAATAAAATGGCAAATAACCAGAAAGGTGTTGAAGGTATGTTCTCTTTATAAGGCTTTATTATGCAAAAAGGGTCATTTCGTTTCGTAAGTCATATTTATATGTTTAACAAAAACATCTTAGGAGTTTTCGCTGCCTAAAATATAATAAATAATAATGGTCCTGTAGATGTTTTAAATAATCGGCAATAACATCCTGTCCGTAGAGATTTTTCGAATTTCGATTTGTAGTCTAGAATACGTCTACGAATTTTTTTTCCTCTAGGTCTTATGCTATTCGAAAAACCTTAAGGTTCATGTTTGGTACTGCAATTAGCCACTGCTTTAGTTCGGTTCGTTCCAAAGCAACGTTTGTCTATGTTCGGTTTTGAACTTTGACCATTTCGGGTGTTTCTAAGCTTAATAAGCACATATTTCGCTAATAAACTGGCGCGGATTTTAGAAATATTATTCTACAGACGCGTAGTAACGCCTGGGGCCTACAAGCGTCCTGCACTATGCATTACCTAAAAAACAATTAAACAATGTTTGCGAGGCGTCCCGCAATTGACCGGAGTATTGGAAACGTCAATTTCGCTGTAAAGTCTATGCTTCTGTTCTTAATAGTACCAGTAAAATGTTCCTATAAAGAGTGTCTATAAATATGCTTAATATGATTATATCAGCTTCCAGACATCAGCTCTATTAAATTGACAACCATAATTTTCGCCCTATTGCTTTCGACCCACAAATAACCTTTTTTCTATAAGTTTATCATATATATATATATGATAGTCTTCAAAGAAACCTACTTTGTGACTCTAGGATAACCAACACTTTTTTTTGATACGAAAATGTATTTTTAGGTCTACTTCAGCACGTTGATTCCTGAAACCGTCCTGAATCTCTAAATGGAGTCCCTTCGAAGCACATGCACATATAGATAGTCTGGCAAACTACATAATAGGTTATGAATAGATAAATCCAACTTTAACACTTCAGATCGTAACTGTCTCAAGGCCCCGGCACGTTCTACTCTTGCACTCGTTGCCGCTGCTGTATGATCTTTATTGTAACTGAAGATTACGTCCTGATAAAAAGATCGCGCGGCTAATTCTTTCTCGTGCAGGACCTTATTGCTGCTAGGGTGAGTACGGGAGATCTCTAAAAGGAAGTCAAAAAAAAAATTACTCTCAAGATACAAACAAACGAAATAGAAACACTCAGCACGGAGGCTCCCAATCCTCGCGCATTTACGTGCGCCATCATGCGCCGGATATGCCATCAGGATCTGAATAAACTAAAAATGAAAACGTAAGCGTGCAGTTCTCATGGAGCATCTAGCTGCCCCCTTTACAGATACTGAGATCGTCCACAAGACTCTTCTGACGCTACCACTGTAGGAGGCGTCTAAAAAGTTAAATTAAAAAACTTAATTCGCCGCCACTACTTTATTATTTCCATTATTTTTTTCGTTGAATTTATTATTATTCCTCCTTTTCTCTTGCCTTATTATTATTAAACATCTACATATTGATCGTAAAAAGGTATCGTTTTCGTTTGCAATCTCGAACCTATAAAGTTCTGCACAGATATCATAATTTCTAATTTTCTCCGCACGATTTATTATTTGTGGTTTTAATAATTGCCTCATACGGAAATACTTTGTTATTATTCAAACACTCAGATGCTAACTTTAGTTCCTTGAAACTAGACACGTAAGGCCTGAATGACCTGAATTTGCAACAGACGATTTTTTTGAAAGTGTTACGTTATGTTCTAGATACAATTTTCGTCAACCGTATCAGCACGACATCAGTGTCGCTTCTATCGAGCTGGGTTATTTTTAGCAGCAAATTTGTGTAAGGGTTGAAAAGTCTATCATCCCATTCATTGGGTCCCATTTCTGGCTGTATAGAGAGGTCGATTTCGAAAATATCGTGTTCAGTGCTAATCCTCGATATGGAGTGCCTCACAAGTTCTGGCTTTGGAGTGAAGTTGATTATTAAACGTTAAAGGCCCCTCTCAGCGTATGCAAGTCAATACGTTTCGCTGAACTCAGCTCTTTAGGCAAATCCAGCACACCCCGTGCATCTAAATCTCTTAAGATTTGCCGCTAAGTGAATGATGGGATCTTCAAAGGACAAGCCTGTGAACTCCCAAATCAACTGGCATCAAATCACAGAAATTATCTCGCGCGTTCAGTCTCAGGAGTCCAATCCTTCTCCATTCAGTCTAAGTGTATTCTATATCTGTCTGAATAGCTCCTTGTATCTTTCTGACTACGCTGTTTGTTCATCTGGAACCAGCTTATAGCAATCTGCACCAGTGTCTCACTAGACCCGATGTATTCCCCCATCCCTCATATAACAACGACGAATCTACACGTCTTCAGTTTCCATAGACGCTACGCTACGTTACGCTACCAAAGCTATCAGCACCACCACCCTCTGTGGGTTTCAAGTCCTCGAAAAGACTGGAGACTCTAGACTTAACCCACCTCTTCTTCTTTATGTTTCGTCATTCAGCCTTCGTCTCACTCATCACTCCAACACTTCTCCCACGTAGCTAAACCTTGAGGCCGCCGATGTAGATAGCTAGTCTCTGTTGTACTCAGATAGTCCGGTTCGCGCGACTGGTTATCCTACTGTCGAGGACAGATCAACAGCACTTAAACTTTTTTAGTCGCCTTCTTACGGGGGCATCGCACTCCGTTGGCCTAGGTCTCCTCTTGGGAGTTAGGCACCTTTCAATACTCCATCAACTTCTCTTTTTCATCTTTTTTCCTTGTTCTGTACAGCTGATTCGTTCACTGCGGCGCCCTTTATGGTCGCTCGGTCTCTCCAGCTGCATCGGCCGACTCGTTGCTCCCTCTTGGTGTATACTTCCAATGGTAAAGTCAGCAATAGTAAGTCTTTTGTCTTGTTCCTTATGCGTTTTTCTCTTTCTCCAGTGCAGCCCCAAGCTTATATTCGCTGGGTGAGCTAGTAATAGCGCAGATACGGTCTGGTAATTCAACGCACTGGACTGGAGAAATAGCACCATACAACCTAACACGGTCAGACTCAACGGTCACGCGTAGCGGAGAATGAAAACGATCCAGACAAGACGACGAGGCGAAACATCGAGCACTGGGAAAGTCCACGGCTTATGCAGTAAAACACTGACGAAGGTTTGAACGAAATCTTTTAGGGCATTTGCGGAGGCAGGGTAGTACTAACTGGCCAGTGGCGTGGACCGGCCGACCGAACGACCTGACAGGGTCCTCGAAACAGCTCACCCGGAAGTGAGCGGAGAAGCATTAGCAAATTGACTGCGTCTACATCGGCGACCCAACCATGCCGCCGACTTCGCGCTGAGGTCATTTGCAGACGCCAACACTACAGGCGGGAGAGCAGACAGTGATCAACGTAGTCGGAATGGATGCAGTCCTGATACTTAGCATGAGATATGTACTACACAATTAGACAACAAGGAAACATTTAAGACATCTCCAATCGGAGGGGGCATGTGGTGACATCAGGCTTAGCGTAGACTATGGGTAGATTGAGAAATCTACTTTGAATCAAATTGAGTAGACCAACGGGATTTGAGGTGAGTGTTGATGTTTGACCAGAAAAGCTCGGTTTGACTAGGGGCTCCTCAAGAGGACACGGGGCATGCACTGACAGGCTGGGCATAAAGTAGTTGGTTGTATCATCAGACGTGAGTACCAAGGCGGTTCTCCTGCGGAAGTGGCAGCACATACTGATTGCTCGGAGTGAATTTCTGGTCTGGTATGAAACTCTGATCATGATCAGTAAGACAGTAAATGTCAGCAGCAATGACAATTGTTCGATAACTATTAGAATACGAAAAAGCGATCTCTCGCTAAAGACATAGATTATACTGATCGAGATGACCGCGACAATGATGTGTGGTCCTTTTAGAGATAAATCAGTATTCAATCAACGTCGATTCTTATCACTCTGGCTGAACTAAGTAATAAACTTACCATTAGATTCATTTTTCATTTTATTTATTCCAAATATACAATGTGTAATAAAAGTTATAAATATGCCATAAGAGGTGATAGTGGAGATGTATGAGCATGTGTAAGTGGCTAGGTATTGAGGTTGCCTTACTAATGTAATCAGGCTACCCGTAGCCGGAATGGTATCTTCAGCAAATTCACAGATACAATTTTTATTTTCTTCGTGGTATTGTTGAATTTCATAAATGAATGAATAGAGTTCGTATAAAGTTATAATATGGTGATTATTTCTGTTCGCTTGCTTCCAGTGACCGTCGGTTTTAGCTAGAGTTGAGAAAATTGGAAGACTTACATCGGCCAATATTGGCATTTCTATCTATACGCTACTATTTCTGAAAGGCTAAATGACTTTCGCATATTTTCGTATGACTGCATTAGGCGATTATGAATTGTTGCGTGCAGGCCTCGTACTAATTTCGAAAGTACCGGCTTTATTTCGAACAAACAGCAGAACCCGGACGCTTTGCTTTTCCCAGAGGATCAGAATTTCGTATGCGAGAGTGCAATATTCCATAGTAAATCACTTCGCTGCTGTTTCGATGAATAGTTTTCGCAGATTTCTAATTGCGACAGACGAAACCATTACTGATCTAACTTAAGCCTCTATGTGATCAGCGAAAGATTTCCCTGCTGCCGTTAGCGTCAAGCCGATGTAAACTAATTGACAATTTCTAGGCACCGTTATGTTCAAACAAAACAAATCTCCGTTACCACGTCTTTCGCATCTTCGGAACTTTATAGCCTTTGTTTTGATCTAACAAATTGGAAGACTAACTTCGATGACCTAGGTATTCAGTCGTATTAATGCCTGCCGCAGGTGAAACCTGTTCATGTTGTACATGATGAGATCGTCCGTGTGCAAGATCGTCTCTACAAGACGGTGCTATTGTTTAGTGCACGAATGAAGATCGTTCTTGAGAAGCACGAAGAATAATGAACTATAATTATTATTATTGCAATTCCTATCGTTTTTTGAG